ACAAGAACTTTAGACACTACACAAATACATGGAAATTAATAACATGCCACTGAACGACCAATGGTCAAAGAAGAGATTAAGAAGAAAATCAAAAAATTTCTTGAAAGAAGTGAGAACAAAAACATACCAAAACCTATAGGATACAGTCAAGGCAGTATTACCAGGAAAGTTTATAGCAATAAATGCCTACATCAAAAAAAAAAAAAAAAAAAAAGAATGATTTCAAATAAACAACCTAACAATGCACCTGAAGTAATTGGCAAAGCAAGACAAACCAAACCCAAAATAAGTAGAAGAGAAGACTAAAATAAAAATAAAAATCAGAGCAAAAGAGGGCCAGCCCATGGCTCACTTGGGAGAATGTGGTGCTGACAACACCAAGTCAAGGGTTAAGATCCCCTTACTGGTCATCTTTAAAAAAAAAAATCAGAGCAGAAGTAAATGAAATTGAGACTAAAAATTCAAAAGATCAAATGAAAAGTTGGTTTTTTGAAAAGATAAACAAAATTGACAAACCAGTAGCCAGACTAACTAAGAAAAAAGGAGACATTTCAGCTTATACTACTGAAATACAAAAGATCATCAGAGACTATTATGAATAACTATAAACCAATAAATATGAAAACCTAGAGGAAATGAATAAAGTCCTAGACACACATGACCTACCAAGACTGAAAAAAAAGAAATAGAAAACCTAAATAGACCAATAATAAGAAACTAGATTGCATCAGTAATAAAAAAGTTTCCCAACAAAGAAAAGCCCAGGACTGGTAGGTTTTATTACTGAATTCTACCAAACATTTAAAGAAGAATTAACACCAACACTTCTTAAACTATTTTAAAAAATTGAAGTGGACAGAATTCTTCCAAACTCGTACTACGAGGCCAGCATTACACTGATGGCAAAAACAGTCAAGAAACATGACAAAAAAAAGAAAACTACAGGCTGATATCTCTACTGAAAACAGGGGCAAACAATCTTCAGTAAAACACTAGCAAAGAGATTCCAACAGTACACTAAAAAGATTATATACCACAATCAAGTAGGATTTATCCCAGGGACGCAAGGATAGTTTGACATATGCAAACAAATAAACATAATACATCACATCAACAGAATGAAAGAAAAAACCATATGATTATCTAGATTGATGCAGAAAATGCATTTGATAAAGTTCAACACCATTCATGATTAAAAATTCTCAACAAGTTAGGTATAGATGCAAAATATCTTAATACAATAAAGGAACCCACAACTAACATCCAGTTCACCCACACTGAATTCCAGTTCCCTAAGAACTGGAATAAGACAAGGATGCCTACTTTCACCACTTTTATTCAACATAGAACTGGAAATCCTAGCCAGAACGATTAGTCAAGAGAAAGAAATAAAGGGCAACCAAATTGGAAAGAAGGAAGTCAAACTGTCCCTGTTTGCAGATGACATTTTATATGGAGAAAAACCTAAAAACTTTTACCAAAAACTCATAGATCTGATAAACAAATTCAGTAAAGTTGCAGGATACAAAATCAACATACAAAAATAAGCATTTCTATACACCAACAGTGAACTTGCAGAAAAAGAAATCAATAAAGCTATCCCATTTACAATAGCAACAACAACAAAAATGCCTAGGAATAAATTTAACTAGGGAAGTGAAAGATCTCTACAGGGAAAACTATAAAATACTAATCAAAGAAATTAAACACACACACAAAATTGAAAGCATCCCATGATCATGGATTGAAGAATCAATATCATCAAAAAGACCCTACTACCCTAAGCAATCCACAGATTCAATGCAATCCCCATCAAACTACCATTGACATACTTCACAGAAATAGAAAAAATAATTCAAAAATGTATATGGAACAAGAGACCCTGAATAGCCAAAGCAATTCTGAGCAAAAATAACAAAGCTAGAGGCATCACACTACCTGATTTCAAAATATACTACAAAGCTATAGTAATCAAAATAGCATGGTACAGGCACAAAAACAGACCCATAGACCAATGGAAAAGAATACAGAACTCAGAAATAAATCCACATACCTACAGCCAACTGATTTTCAACAAAGGAGCCAAGAACATACGCTGGGGAAAGGACAGTCTCTTCAATAAATGGTCCTGGGAAAATTGGAGATCTATATGCAGAAGAATGA